ATTGTCAATAGGGAATCAGGACACAGACCACTCTGGCTTCTTCCATGCTGAACAGGGACACAGGGTATGGCAATTGGAGTACCCTTCAGTGGGTCTATCTTAAACACGACCAAATTGCATAACTCCTGTCTCAAGGAAGAAAAGAAAGTCTTTGAACCCTGAATAAGAGATGTGAAGGAGAAGTAAAGGCAAGAGTAATTAGCATTATAACTTCTAGACAGGGAACTAGAAAAACATCAGAGCAAGGCAACTTTCAAATGTTCATATGAGAGTCCACCGGAATTTCTTGATAAGGGCTTCCAAAGGCCTCCCTCTATTGGGTTCCTCCTCATTTTCTTTTGTCTTCCAAGGCTGGACCTAGAGTGATGGATTCAGGATTTGCTTTCAGGTATTTTGATACCTGTTGGAGTAGTTAGAATCAGTGTCCGTTCCCTCTCAAAGGCTTCTAAATAGGGGGCAAAAACAAATTTATCCATCCTTTTAGAACAATAGCTGGTTGTCTCCCTTAGCTACAGGTGGGTACTACAGTATTGGAGACCAAGATTTGAAGTCTTACATCTGAGCAGCACTTTCTGGTTAGGAATAAAATCATCAATGAGAAATAATTGTCTGAATAACTTTTTATATAGACTTAAGCCTAATGTCTGGGAAGGGTAATCCCTTGAACTCTTAAAGAAATATACTAATGACTTTACTCTTCGGTTATACTTTACTTTGGGGTGTTTAAGACCGTAGAGTTGGCCCAAATAAATCAATTTTTACACTTAAGGTCATTTGAGGATCTGTTCCTCAGGGGTCACATGGGCTTGGGGGGAGCTCTTGGCTCCTTTCTTTTACCAGTTCCATCTATCTGAAGATAAGTCAAAGGTCCTGCTTGACCATGTCTGGCTTCACATGGAAGCATGAATGAGATGTTTCCTCTGAGTTGACACTCCTCTTTGTAAACTGGACACTAGTTCAAGTCCGTCTTGTGGGGTCTCTATGGCTTCTCTGAACAAAAGGACAGGTGACTGACCGCAGTCACAGGACTTTTTGAGAGATGTTTCACAATTCCCTGGAATTTAGTCGACCTTGGAGGGCAAGGGGCAAAAACTGCCCCTTAAGTCCTTCTGGCCACATTAGTACAGGCCTTAAACTATGGCTATTAAACATCCAAAAAGGTTAGTTTCACCAGTCTGGCACTTTTAATTATCATGTGTTATGTAGATAAGGCTTGGGTAAAAAAACCAAATATTCTCAGATAAACTTTGACTAGATATATATTTTATTCCTTAAACTAGTTGACTAAACTATGACCATCAAGTAGACAGTTCACATTCCTAGTATAGCATGATCAGGAAGATTAAGCAAGGGTGTGTGGGTGGCTTAGTGTAAACCATCCCTTGTATAGAAGTAAACTCACTAATAAATTTTGTCCAACACTGCAATTTGTCCCTGGCAAGAGAGAACCCCATTTCCAAGGGTCTCTGTGGAAAAGAGACTTCACAATAAAAAAAATTTCACATTTAAGAAAACACATTGTTTTCTTATGTTTTGTAAATCCTAAGAGAAAATATAATTTTGAATTATCATCCAAGCATAATTTAAATTAGTATTTGAATCAAAATATATAATTATGTTTTAATCAGGTACTGCTTTCCTCTGAATCACATGTACAAGTTTTTGAAACAGGAGGAAGAATAACAATTCTATAAAATGTTGTATCATAGCTTTAATCCTGAGTCATTTATTGTGTATATGGTTCCTGAGTCATTAATTACTAATGCCTTCCTATAATGAAAAGATTACTAATCATAGGCAAAGTGAGTGACTGTGAAACTTTCTGAACACTAATTACTGTCCCCAGAAAAAAACTTTAATACCATGATTTTTTTAAATAAGTAGAATTAAATTAAATTTTGTTCAATTAGCTTTTTCAGAAATAGAAAACATACCAGCTTTTTTTTAAATTTATTTTCATTTTTCATTTTGTATGTATGAGTGTATTGCCTGCATGTGTGTAAGTATACTTGTGGCTTGCAATGCCTTGGAGGTCAGAAGAGGGCATTTGGTTTCCCTGGAACTAGAGTTAAGGATGGTTGTTAGCCACGAACCCAGATTGTCTCTAAGAGCAGCCAGTGTTCTTAACCACTGAGCCATCTCTCCAGCCCAGTATCGGCTCTTTTTGTTGACAAACGTATTATTTTCTCCTGGTGAATGAAAGAAAATAGATTGCAGTGGGGAGGCTGGGATTATATCTCTGAAGTAAAGCACTTGCCTAGTTATTCAAGACCCCAGGCTGTACCCCTAGCAGAGAGCTAGGGTCAGGGAGAGGCA